AGTGGTTTGTAAACCTCAAAATGTCATATGAAAAAAGCAAGAAAAATAAAGTGAAAAAAGGATGCTTCAATCTGTACTCAGAGTTCATCAGTTCTTTCTCTGGAGGCGTATAACATTTTTCTTTTTTTTTGCCTTTTTCTTTTTTTTCACTTTTTTCTTTTTTTTTCCTTTTTCTTTTTTTTCACTTTTTTCTTTTTTTTTCCTTTTTACCATGTGTTTTTAAAACTTTGGGTTCCAAATTTTCTCCCTTCCTTGGTTCCCCACTCATCCTCATTGAAAAGGCAAGAATCTTGAGACAGGTTATAGATGTATAGTCATGCAAAACAATTCCATAGCAGTCATGTTGTGAAAAACTAAGTATATTTCCTTTCATCCTATCCTACCTCCCCCCCTTTATTCTATTCTCTCTTTTGACCCTGTCCCTCCTCAGAAGTGTTTGCTTTTGATTATCCCCTTCCCCAATCTGCCCTCTCCTCTATCAATCCCCCGCTCTCTTGTCCCCTTCCCCCCTTATTTTCCTGTAGGGTAAGACAGATTTCCCTACCCCATTGTGTATGTTATTCCCTCCTTAAACCAAATCCTATGAGAATAAGATTCACTCATTCCCTCTCACCTTCCCCCATTTCCCCTCCATTGTAAAAGCCTTTTTTTGTCTGTTTCACGTGAGATAATTTACCCCATTCTACTTCTCCCTTTCTCCTTCTCCCAGTATAATCCTCTCTCACTCCTTAATTTTATTTTCCAGATATCACCCCTTCATCTTCAACTCACCCTGTACCCTCTATCTATCTATCTATACATACATATAATTTTTTCCCCTCCCACTACCCTAATACTGAAAAAGACTCATGAGTTACAAATATCATCTTTCCCTGCAGGAATATAAACAGTTCAACCTTAATAAGTCTCTTATGATTTCTCTTTCCTGTTTACCTCTTCCATGTTTCACTTGAGTCTTGTATTTGAAAGTCAAATTTTCTATTCAGCTCTGGTCTTTTCCTCAGGCGTTATTTTCTTCAGTATTTTTTTGGGTCTCCTTTAGCATCACTCTCAGTTCTTCCTCTACTTCTCTTACTTACTTCTCAAAATCCTTTTTGAGCTCTTCCATAGCCTGGGACCAATTCATATTTTTCTTGGAGGCTTTGAATGTAGGAGCTTTGGCTTCATTGTCTTCTTTGGGTTGTGTGTTTTGATCTTCTTTGTCACCAAAGTAAGATAATATAGTCTGACTCTTTTTGCACTGCTTGCTCATGATCCTGGACAATTACTTGAGTTATAAACACTTTGTTAAGGTAGGGGTCTGTTTGCAGTGTGGAGAATGTACTGTCCCAAGTTTCAAGGGTTTTGTGCAGCTGTTTTCAGAGATACTTCTAGGGATCTGTAAATTTTCAGTTCTTCCAAGGTGGTATGATCAAGGACGAGGTGTTTACTCCTGTCCTGGTCTGTGCTGTGGTCTATGAGTGATCACAAGCACTCTTTTCTGTCTTGGAACTATGAGGAGGATTTCCTCTCCACAGCCTCTACAAGCTCCACCATGCCAGTGCTCCTCCTTGCCCCAGGACCTCCACCCAGACCTGTGACCCAGATCCAAGCATAGGCAAAGCAAGAAAATCCTGCGCCAGCAGAGAGATCCATGCAATCCCCCTCTGATCAGCCACTCGATTCCCCCTCAGTCTGTGGGCTGGAAGTTCGGGAGGCAGCTGCCGACCCGAGGCAAGCTCAGGGACTGGGGCTGGAACCCTACTGTGCTTCTCTCTTACCACCTCAGAAACAGACTTTTCCCACTGACCTTCTAAGTTGTTTTTGGTGTTCTGGAAGTTAAGAAGTCTGGAAACCGCCACAGCTGCCCTTGATTCAGTCCTCTGAGGCCTGCTCTAGGTTTGCTGCAGCCTGTGCGCCCACACTGAGCTGCGTTCCTCTCCCTGCCCGATGAGATGTACCTTTCTGATCAACCCTCCAGGTTGTCTTGGGCTGGAAATTTGTTTCACTCTGTCTTTTCGTGGGTTCTGCTGCTTTAGAATTTGTTTAGAGCCATTTTTTTTTATAGGTATTTGGAGGGGTTTGGGGGAGAGCTCAAGCAAATCACTGCTTTTACTCTGCCACCTTGGCTCTGTGGATAATATTTTTCACCATGGCTCCTTTGGAATTGTCTTGGATCATCATATTGATCAGAGGAGCTAAGTCTTTCACAGTTGATTATTGTTACAATATTTCTGTTACTGTGTCCAGTGTTCTCCTGGTTCTGCTCATTTTACTTTGTATCAGTTCATGTCTTTTTTTTTGAATGTGGCATTTATTTGGTGAATTTACATGTGAGTTCATTTACAAAAGAAAAGTTACAGACAAATGTAGCTTTCAGTGCAGTTTCAAATATTTTAAGAACAGGCAACAATCTGTGAGGATTTGGAATGATAATATTGAATGGCACATGAGTCATTTTCCTTTTGTGTGTTTTTTTTCTACCTCTCCCCAGGGGAAGGAATGGAGAAGAGTTGAAGAAAATGTCAATGTCAATAAAAATAAAGCCATACAAATAAAAACTCCTTCAGAGAATCAGAAGAATTTTAAGTTGGGGATAAGTAACGTTCCTGAAGTCAGGAGTGGTCGTCCTGGAAGGTGCATAATTTAAAGACTAAAAATAGAGAATTAAAATTGTCCTGGTTGTCAGAAAAATTTCACTTCCCAATTTGCTATCTTTAGACCCATGATCTCCTAAAGCCAGGAGTTATTCCTGCTGTGAAGGAAGGACCAATCTCATAGATACCAAAAAGGTAGTGTTTTTGATGTCAAAGTTTATTTGGTTTGTTGTAGTCTGTATTTGGCTTCAGAAGTATAAGCACCTAGTGAATGTTGGCCCTTTGGATAAGCTGTATCTCCTCATCCCAGACCCTGTATGCTAACAAGATTTTAATTCCCCAAAGGGATGGCATACAACTTTAATATGCTGTGGTATGTATTCTCTAAGGCTCAGGCTTAGTGAGACATTGTTCAATGACCCACTGCTTTAAAAAAAAAGAAAAGAAAAGAAAAGCCCAGCAACAAAATGGGACACTCTGCCAGTTAATTAGGATTATAACCAAAAAGGATAGTCTGGATGGCTAGGAACAAACAATGAACTGAAGTATGGATTGTAGGTTGGTTCCCATAAGCCTTCCCAGGTTTTTCTGAAGCCATCTGTTCATCTTTTCTTGAAGCACAGTAGCATTCCATTACAATCACATACCACAACTTGTTTAACTATTCCCCTGATGATGGGCATCCCCTCAATTTCCAATTCTTTGCCACCACAAAAGAGCTGCCATAAATATTTTTGTACATATAGGTCCTTTCCCTTTTTCCAGGGTGTCTGTTTCAAGCCCCCTCCCCCTTTCTTTAGGCATAATTTCATCAATTCCAACTCCACCCTCATTCCTCACATTCATGTTGCCTTTTATGTTTCATTTTACTTTATTTTTTGATGAACAAGAATTTGTTTTCTCCTTTCAATTTAAAAGGAAGAAGAAAAAAAAAGCAAAATCCTTATAACAAACGTGTACAGTCAAGCAAAACAAATTCCCATATTGTCCATGTCCAAAAATGTAAGGCTCATGCTATGTTTTTAAATTTGATTTACACATCCAAAGGAGAACTAATTATCTTCTTCTAAAAATGGAACAGAACTCTCTGAACCTCTGAACTCCCCTATTTCTGTTGAATGCACTGTCACCCAAGAATTCCAGTCACCCAAGTTTTCAACCTCAGTCATCCTTGACTTTCTTTCTCCTGTACCCTACCTATCCAACAAGTCCCTAAGTCTTGTTCATTCTACCTCTAGGTCACCTCTAGCATCCCCTTCTGCCCACTCAGATGATTGCCCCTCCAGTTCAGGACCTCTTCACTTCTCACCTGACCTATTGAAACAGTCTCCTATTTCTTCCTCAAGTTTCTCTCCTTTCCAAACCATCCTCCATACAAAGCTGCCAAAGTGATATTCCCAAAGCCCAGTTCTGAACATGTCATTTCTCTATTCAATAAACAATAGTGACTTCCTATTGCTTCTAGGATCAAATAAGAATTTCCCTGTTTGACTTTCTCATGTTTTGCTCCCCTCCACACTCTTTAAAATACAGCTACAGTAGCTTACTTGAACATTCCATCTCCCATCTCTGTGCCTTTGCATTGGCTGTGCCCCACGCCTGGAATGCTCTCTCCCTTCCAATCTGTCTCTTAGTCTTCCTGAATCAAGATGTAAGTCGGATCTCCCCTCTGTTGAAGGTTTGCCCCAGGCCCCTGGCTTCTTTCTGAAATTACCTACCATGTCTTGAATAAATCTTGAACCTAGCTGGTTATTTTCCTGCTTGCTTTCCCCATTAGAATGCAAGCTCCTTGAAGGCAGGTATTACCTTTTGCCTTTCTTTGAGTTCTTATGGTATAAATAGCATGGTGTCTGGTACATAGTAAGCCTTTTTTTTTTAAAATAATAAACTCTTAATAAATGCTTTTTGACTGTTGAATGACTGGCATAGACTCTGCCCTACATTTTCAGGCTTATTATATATTAATCCCCCTCTACCTGTAGTTTTATTTAAACTGGGCTTTGTGCATTGATGGAGGTAGTTTCTCCATCAGGGGGTGCCCTATCCCATGCATATCAATCCCAAGTTCAGTCCCTATCCATCATGTAAATAACACACAAGTATATATGAATATGCATGAGCTGGAGAAGTTCACGTGGTTAGGTTTTTACACAGGAGCCTGAGCGCACGGAGATAAAGGAAGCGGGGCTTTTGGCATTTTCAGTCAGGCTACGTCCTGGGCAGCTTCAGCACCTGGGACCCTCGCTTTACCCCGGCTCCATAAAAGTAGGAAGTGTTCCCGTAGCTAGGCGACAGAACTAGAAAGGAAGCTGCCCTCTTTGGGGTTCAAGAAAGGAGATGGTGGGCGGTGTTTGGCCTTTTTCAATCAGGCAGTGTTCACCGTAGCTCCCAACGTCTAAGGCCCTCCCCTTCCGCTGGGGTCCTTGGGCGAGCTCTGATATGATTGGCTGTTGCCTCTCGCGGCCCTTTCCCTCTCCTGCTGCTCGAGGAGCCGGCCGCCACCATGGTGAGTCTTCCTGGGGTCTAGACGCCATCCGTCTCGCATCTGCGCCATCCTTCGGCTCGGCTCTCGACTCTTCTCTCAGCCCGTCTCCTGGAGGCCTCTTGTCCGCTCCGATGTTGAAACTAGCCGGGAACCGCGCTCCAAGAGCGGCGAGTTGTGGGCAGAAGGGGCACGGGGCCGGGCCGGGCTGGTTTGGGGCCTAAGGAGCGGGAGGGGAGGGATGGGATGGGCACGGGAGGTCGGGGCTCCGGCCTAGTCCGTGGAAGGTGCGGGGCCGGCTTTCTGAGCCTCGGTTGTCTCGTCGGTGAAATGGGGACAGGCCCGGCTTTCCCGGGGCTGGGTGGGGTTAAGCTGGAGTAAAGGAGCGGCAAAGTGCCGCATCAATGGGGCATACGTGTCGGTTCTCACCAGGTGCTTCGTTAGAGGGAGCCCAGCCGCAGATGTGTCGGAGCCTGGCGTGGTGCTTATTCAGAGCCGGGCTGCCGCTTCTCACTTTAATGGGGAGTCCGAAGGGAATTCACGCATGTCCGGCTTTTCTGTGCATTTACAGTCGCATCACTACTTTCCCCTCATTTTCTTTCTTGCGTGACACATGAAGGGCCCCGTTTCCCTTTGGTACCACTGGTTGTAGAAAGGGATTAATTGTAGGGGGAACGTAGAGTCCGCAGAGAATCTTATTTAGCCACGGGGAGGTGGAGGTCCCCAGCATAAGGCGTTTAAAAAGGTTACACATATAAAACACCAAGTAGGTTCCCTTTGTGTCTTTTTTTTTTCTTCCCTTTTGAGGAAATTGAGGATGACGGAGGTTTGGCCCCAAGTTAGAGATTTACTGGAATTTAAAAGTTGGAAGGGACCCCAGGGGAATTTTAGCACAAACCAGTTTGAACCTCGACTCCCAAGTGAGATAAATTCTTATTTCATTATACTGTTTGTCATTACTTTTCCTAGACTGTAAACATTTTCCATTTTTGTATCCTTAGTGCCTAGCATAGAGCCTTGGAGGTAAGTTGCCCTAAGCCATGAAATCTATTGGCTAGACATTTTGCACTTATTTTAGACTACTACTGTTTAGAATAAGTGTTTGGGAGTAAATGTCTTGAAACCTGAAGAAACTAGCCTATTTTGATTTATTTTGTTTCTGCTACTGTACTGAGGTGCAACACTAGGTGATTTTTCTCTTTTTTCTTTGTAAACTTTTACTGCTGTCTTTCTATGTCACCTAGATTGCTTCTGTGTTCCTCTTTCCCTGCCTCCTAGATAGCTAGCCCTTAAAAAAGAATAAAAAACTTACTGACAGATCCAGTGACTTAGAATGACAGAAGCATATGGGGTCAAGGTGGAAAGCCCTACAATTTTAAGATCATGAAACACTGTATTGCAAAGGCCCTGTGTGGAAAATAGGACACAAGATGATGTGGCAGGTTTAATTGAATTCTGAGACTGACCACAGAAGTTGTAGCTCCTTGATGATGCCTTTGTAATGAACTTTTAGTTCAATTTCCAGTCGGAATAAGAACTTAAACTATAGTCCCAATGGAAAATGCTGTGTACTGGGCTGTACGACCAAGAAAAGATTTCAGATTAGTTTTAGTTTGGTCTATGTTTTTTATGTTGGGAACTCTCAGCAGGGAATCTAACTGTTCTAGAGCTGTCTGAGGCTAAAGAGTTGTCTGAGGCCCTGAGAGGCTAACTGACTTAACCTGCATCACATAGTTAGCATGTGTGTCAGGTTGCACTTGAACTTAGGTCTTCTTGACTTTGAAATCTTCTTTATTACACTAGGCTGCCTTCCTTAATTTTTCTTAATTTTTTTTTCATTTGCAGAATGACACTGTAACCATCAGAACCAGGAAGTTCATGACAAACAGACTTCTTCAGCGTAAACAGATGGTAAGAATATCATTCAGATTTATTTTTTAACCTTAATTTCTTATGCTTTACTTTATTATATGCACACAAAATTATGCATACACTCTTTTTTTTTTTTTTTTAAGGTTATTGATGTCCTTCATCCTGGAAAGGCCACAGTGCCCAAGACTGAAATTCGAGAAAAACTGGCCAAGATGTACAAGACAACCCCAGACGTCATTTTTGTCTTTGGATTCAGAACCCATTTTGGTGGTGGCAAAACAACAGGCTTTGGCATGATTTATGATTCCCTTGACTATGCAAAGAAAAATGAACCAAAGCACAGACTTGCAAGGGTAGGTATCTTGTGATTGACTATTAATGCAATGAAACAGCACATAAAAATTTGAACTGTGTAAAGAAATGGCCTTTCTGGTAAAGGCCAACACTGACGTATGCAGAAGTGATCCCATTCCATCCTGTCTTCTCCAGTAGATTGTCCCTTTTGTTATCCCTGCTCATTATTCACTAATCTTCAATGTCTCCCTGTTTATTGGCTGCTTCCTTTCTGCCCACAAATCTGCCCATGTGTCCCCTAACCCTTAAAACTCCTTTAACCCATCTTGCTATCTTACTGTACTTTTCCTTCTCCTTGTGGCTAAACTTCTTGAGAAGGCTATTCACAGTTATGGTCAGTGCCTCCTTCCTTCTCACTCTCAGCTCTGTAGACTGACTTCTCCCACTGTCATTCAACTGAAACTGGTCTCTCCAAAGTTCCTTTCTCCCAACTACATCTTCACTCTCTCCTGTGCCTGGAATTCCTCTTTTGTGTCTCATGGTCCTCCTTCAAGTCTTACTCAGTTTAAAATCCCACCTTCTGCAGGATGCCCCTTCATGCCAGCATGTCTCATGCACATGGTTTGCATGTTGTCTTTCTTCCCCTCAGCTGGGTTCCCTTAGGGCAAGGTCTGTCTTTGCACCACAGTACCTGGATTAATGCTTGACTCACTGGGACCTGTTGTCTCGTTATTTTGACAACTAGGAGATAATTTTGAGATGAATGAAATGGCAGATGGTGGAACAACAAGAGAGTAGGTTTAGTCTCTCAAGGAAGATGATGAGGTTTTCAAGCAAAATTTCATGCCTTTGCATAGAATACTAGAATAACTCTTTTACTTCAAGAGTTGTCAGGTTCTTTCTGATTTTAATTTTAAGTCCTGGCCTGTAGACGTTCATACATTCATTCAACAAAAATAAAGCACGCTACAGTGTTCAGGGCCCTGTGGGTCTTGGGCTGGGGCCCAGCTGTGGGTGAGATGGGATCAACACCTTTAAGGAACTCGCTGTCTAGTAATAGACAGGGAGGAGTATTGGCGTTATCAGACGGCATGTTCATTTGAGTGATGAATCTTTCCCTTTCTTAGCATGGCCTGTATGAGAAGAAAAAGACATCACGAAAACAGCGAAAGGAACGAAAGAACAGGATGAAGAAAGTCAGGGGTACTGCAAAAGCAAATGTCGGTGCCGGCAAAAAGGTGCAGTATATTGAGGGAAGAACCTCCATGTAGATAAATGCAGCATAAAATTGATTTTACAGAAGGGAAGGCTTTTCTTCACTGAATAACCTTTCTTAATATTTTCCCCCTACTTTTTCTGGATAACAGAAGGTAATGTTTTTCAGATGCTACATAGCAGAATGCCTTTTGGTAGTTTAGCTTTGCCACTTTATAACTTGGTCGTTTGGGTTCTACGTTGGTCCACTTATACTGGTCCTAGCTTCTCGGAAATCGGAATCAAAAGCCTCTTATCATTTAGGTGCTGTTTGTTTATTCAGCATCATGGGCAAGCAGCACATGTTCTCTAGGACTTAATCAGATCTTTAAAACTGCTGCCTGCCCACGGAACAGTATATTTGAATCAGTGAATGCATTTCTCCCTAGTGGGCTGGAGAAGTAGTTCTTGTATTAAGTTTGCTGTGTTACTTTCCAGTTCCCCACGAATTATGTCTCTTGCTGGTAGCTTTATGATAGCACTGTGCTAAGCAGCTTAGAGGCTTAATAAGATGGTGGGTTGTTAAATGGTTAACAAGTGCTTCTGTCACATTTAGTGTAACCTGTTCTTTTGCCTTTCTTCCATACTTTCTTGGATTTCTTGTTCATCAGAAATGAAGTGTCTAGCAGGTACTGAGTTTGAACACAGCGTGATGATTGTAGAGACTGCATCACATTCACTTTTGTTTCTGCTTTGCATGTCTGCTTTGGACTTTGGAGTTACATGGTATTCTGTAGTACAGAATATGCTTTAGAACAAGGATAGTTAAAGACCAAAGAAGTGGAAACTGATCATCTTTGTTTCTTAAATGCATGTTATGTTGTGGATTGACCTGGGGGTGGGGGCTCAAAATAATAAGGCTGTTTACTTTGCACTTGGGGAAATGGTGTTGAGGAAAAAGTGGTCCATTTAATTTGTAAAAGTTTTAAGTGGCCCACCACAAAGGAAATGTACAGTGACCACTTTGAGTTAGTTGCTTTCCAAATGGAAAAGCAAATTCTGTCAAACTTAATTTTTTTTTTGTATTACACCAACCTTTCTCATCTTTTCTAGTTAATTTCTAGTGTCTATTGTGAAAAGAGAACCCTATAGTGGATATGGGTTTTTTTTAAAAGTTAAATTTTTTTAAAGTTAACCAGATATGTTCTGACTCCAGTAAAAATTGGAATTTGACAAATATTTTTCGCAGCCTTGGGCATTTATAAAAATCCTGTGAATTCATCCTTTTAACATTTGTGATTATTTCTTAGTGACACCACTAAGAATAAGCATTTTGAAGTATGGGCTCCCCGTGCTTCATTTGCTTCTTCAGACTGTCAGGTTGGCCTAACAGGATCCAGAAATGAGAAAAGATTAAGTCACAGTTTGCCCTTTGAGATAGATTGAAAGATATTTAACACATTGATTCTCTTTCCCATTCAGATTTCTAGCTTTATTGTCTCAATTGCTAATGTCTTCTCAGAGAGTATGATGTTAAGTAATGGGCTCTGTGTGTTGTCAGTGTCAAATTGTCCATTTGTCTGCAAAGTCAGAATGATCAGTTCTAAGATCAAGCACAACTAGTACTGTTAACAGTTGTACAGGAACTCAGTATAAAAGACTGTTGGAAGCACCTATACCAATTGTTCTTTTCAGCCAATTGTCAAGAGTAGTTGTAAATTTTAACTTCAGCAGCTAAATTCTGTTTTTGCTGTTTTCTTACTTTAGGTATGTCCCTTAAAATCCTTTGAAAGAAAATTGATTGCTTGAGAATTTAAACTTTACTCCAAGTTCAGTGTTCTATAATTTATCATGCTTGTCCTTGAGTCAGTTTATATCTTTAACCATAGAAGGTTGCTTTGAGCACTTGGACTTGGTCTGTCTAAATAAGGAGTGGATTGTCATAATTCCTAGATACAATGAATGTAGCTTTTCATTTTGAGATTAACAATCACTAGTCACCCTGTTTTCTTGGAATCCAGTAGTGATTGGGACTGTCTTCTCACAAGTGGTAAGATTAAAATCATTGTCTAGAAATAAGTACTTAACTGTGACTTGAGTACTACTTCTGAAAAGCTGAAGAAAACTAAGGTATTTGATTGCATGCACTTACATGCAGATCATTTTACCTTTGGAGTTTGAAAGTAACTATTAATGACACTTTTCTTTCCTTTGTCTTTCTCCCTCCTGCTGCCACTGATTCAGTGAGCTGGAGATTTCACAACAGGTAGTATAATTCAAGCTTTTTGTTTAGATGAGTAGTCTTTTAAGTTACTGATAGCCAATTTAGAGAAGCATGTGCATTAGAAAGTAGATGTGGAAATGTTCTGTAAATAGCCCTGATAGCATCTTAATATCCAAAAACTAAACCTTTAACTGATAGTTCATTTCTTATTAGATAAACCATAGATGAACTTAATAAAATTAACCTTTAACTCTTGTTTTACTGTTATATTGAACATTGACCAAAATAACCAGGTTGGTTCTTGATTTACTAATCATACGTTTTTCTTTTTTCTTTTTTTAATGAATTTATTTTTAGTTGTCAACATTCACTTACATAAGATTTTGACTTCTAAATTTTCTCCCCTTCCCTGCTCCCCAAGATGGCTTGAAATCTGATATAAGCTCTACATACACATAGATGTTTTTGCATGGATATTTGATTTGTTAATTGCCAACTTGGAATCTTATTAGTAACTCACTTTAGTATATTTTATTTTTTATTTACAGAAGGATTAAAGGCACTATGGAAGATGTTTATCCAGGAAGATAATTTTTCATCAGAGAACAAATAAACTATGTAAAAACTTCCAAAGTCTTCAGTGGATTTTGTATATATAATAGCTTGAAATTAGGTAGAATTTGGGGTAGCTAGGTGGTGCAGTGGATAGAGCACTCTCTTGGAATTAGCAAGACTTATCTTCCTGACTTCAAATCCGGCCACACTAGCTATGTCACCCTGAGCAAGTCACTTAATCCTGTTGGTCTCAGTTTTCTCGTGTGTAAAATGAGTTGGAGAAGGAAATGGTAAACCATTCCAGTATCTTTGCCAAGAAAGCCCTCCAAACATGGGGTGATGAAGAGTTGGACACAACTGAAATCACTCAACAAGGCAGAATCTGTTATAATCTACTTAACACAAATTTTGATATAGATTTATGTATCAGATAACTGACTTTGAAATGGCACATGAACTGGTTTAGAAAGGTGCCCCCACCTACCTTCCCCCTATTCAGCAAGTGACATGTCTGTGAAAGCAGGCATTACTTTTGGTTTATGTCTAGGATGGTGTGTTTCTAGAGATATCCAATTGATAACTATTATAACCCTAAAAGCAGTGGTTTTTTTTTTGGTGTTTTCACAAATTGATAATGCAGTGTCAACATTTAATTGTATGTTTATCAAGTGCTTCCTGTGTCCCAAGAGCCAGGGATAAATAGAAAAGCAAGCAACCAAGCATTTTAAATGCCTGCTAGGTACCAGGAGATTCAACTACCAAGAATGAAACAGTCTACTGAAAAAAAGCTTACATTCTAATGGAGACAAACATACACACATGATTGATGGCCAGGGGAAGTCACTTTGGTCCAGAAAATTACGGGAATGATGGAGGGTGCCATAAGTCAAATAGATGAGACATATCCCACCCAGAACCATGGCAGTACGATTGTGGTTGTAGAAATGAAGGAGTAAGGAAAAGGCAAGGTGATTTAGCACGTGGCTGGAGAGGAGGGAGTGCAGGTAGGCAACGGCATAACCCAGGGGTGTCCTGAAATGGTGGTCTAGAAGGGGGTTCCAGGTAGGGAAGCAGGTACCTGCAGGTGGTTGGCACCTGTAAATACCTCTTTAGCAGGAGGGACATTTTCTCAACTTTCACTTGAGATGAGCATAACCTGGGGGAGTAAATATTGTACTTCAATTTTTTCAGTGCTGGTGTTAAATTACTCGTGGATTTTTTTTTTCTCAGAGTCTAGTTTTCCTGCTTTTCAAATAGGTACTTAATTTTGCATTTCAATTCTAGCCAAACTTTCAATTGGGAAAACATTTAACTTGTTTGAACATCTGCTAGCTTTTCAGGTCCTCTGGGTAATAGCCATTCCAGTTTCCTTTTCAGTGTGGTAGAAACAGATCTTATATTAAAAAGTCCTTCTATAAAACTGATTTTTACCTGGGATATGAAGGGAAAACGAGCAAAAAACCAGTTACTAATGTAGTAACAGGTTATACAAATCCAGGTATTTTAGTTTCAATAAGCGAAGTTACTGAAAGTCTAGAGTATTGTGTTCAGTCCCAGTCACCACATTTTAGGAAGTTTATCAATAAATTTGAGTTACCAGAACATTGAACTGGCTCCCTCCTAATTAAGAGTAAAATGTGTCCTTAAATTAGTCTTGAGAAATGAAAACTCTTGGCACCTTTTTCATTAGTCGTAGGTAGAAACTAGCTTCCTTGACCTCTTAGTATAATGAACACCAAAGGGATTTTGGTTATAGGCTGGGAAATGAGAAATAAAATGTGCTGACAAAATTCTTGATAGTTGACAGATGGCAACTGATTGAGAACTTTGAGGCCCAGGGTAAAATGTTACTCCAGATTTGCCTGTTAAAACCTGGGATGTGATTTTGGGAAAAAAAAAGGATTTTCGTTGAAGACTTGGAAAGTTGGGTACACATGTATTTTCAGATAAGTTTCAATTATGCTTAAATCTTAAACATTTATTAAGCAGCTGCTGAAAACATGGCACTGTCTTGTAGTACATTAAGCCATGAAGAATGCAGCTGGTCTCATCTGTTTATTATGCTTTAATTAAAAGTATCTGACTTTCATCTGTTATGGTAGGCATTAATAGCCTACAGCATAATACCATGTCATAACACATTCAGAATGTGTGATCGGAAAAAGTGATGGTTTGAGTGTGCCAAGTGGTAACTGGGATGGAGAGAGCAGGTTCAGTGAAAAGGAGGGATATTTTAAATCCGGGCTTTACTGGTTGTAAGATCTTGGGCAGGTTATGTTATCTCTCATTGCCTCAGTTTCTTCATCTATAAAATGGGGGGTTTAACTATGTGACCTATGAGGTCTCCTCTACCTGTGAACTTAGGAGTGTTAAATGAAGTAGATCTTCTGAAGTGTAATGAGACTACTTGGATAAGAATCACAAGATGAGAATCATGGTTGGAATGTTTACATTGAAAAAGATTATAAATGAATCTATTAAAGACACCAAATCTTAATTGAACATTTATTGAACAATTCAACAAAATTTATTTTACCACTTTTTTGGTGGGGGAGGAGGGGTATCTATTTTGTATATCACCTATATTTTCTAGAATTTTCTTTCTTCAGAATCCCTGAAATGGTTTTGGTGGGGTCGGGAAAGGCACAAGAGCTTCATCAAGGATGCAGAAGGTGTTTAAAAGAAATTTTGAATCAGCACTAGATGCAATAGAAAGAATTACTTTAAACTTACCCCGAGGTAAGCTTTGTCTGGCTTCTCTTAGCTTCCCTTAGCTGACTGGGATGGCTTATTGCCTTCTTATGGCCTGAAAGAACTGTCAGTAATAGTGATTAGAGCGTTGTTGAGGACAGGCCGCAGCTCTTTTAATCTGTAGCAAACACTGGATAGGTTGGATTGGTATTGGGGGAAGAGGCATTCCAGATAAAGGAAACTGTATATGAAAGCTGGGAGGTAAAGCAGATATCACAGTGATCCGGAACAGGAAATCTGGGAGAGAAGGCATCTTATATTGGCAGGTAATAATTCTGACCCTCATTAAAACATCCTGTGTACCATGACGTCAAGATGCCAGGTACTCCGTAATCTAGACCTTGGCATCCCAGTTTCTAGCAAATATACTGCTAGGGAGGGAAATTTCATTTCCATTATGTATTTCAGGTAGTATGGGATTATAGACTAACTCCCTCGTCTTACAGGTGTGGAAACTGAGGCCCAGAGAAGTTGAAGTGACTTGCCCAAGATTACACAGCATTAAGTGGTAAAGCTGGGATTAAAATTCAGGTCCTTTTGATTCAAAATCTAACATTCTTTCCAGTGATAAAAATTAAGACATTAAAATGTTTGTTGAGATTGCCTTTAAAAGTACACAAATGAGTCTTATCATCTGGACTTCGAAAGCAGACCTTAAATAATAATAGGAATAATAATTCACCTTTATACAGCAGTTTAAGGTTTGCTTTGAGACTGTGGTTTTTAAAAAACTGACCAACCCTATGAGAGATACAAAGGAAATATAAGAAATTATAAAAATAAGCGTTATTTTAAGGAGATGTTATTAGAAGTGGTACAGCTAGTTTATCAGGTGCTGGAGTTTGGTGTTGAGATCTGGGTCTAAATTCTCTTTCCGATTTGTGCTGTGTGATGAAGGGTAAGTCCATTTACTCTCTCTGAGCTTTAACCTTATCTACTAAGTTGTAGACTGTGATCTGGTGGTGAAGGAAGTTCCCACATTGTAGAAAGCAGGGACTGTGGAAGAATGATAGTTTAAGCATCATCACAGCAAAGTCCAGAATGAGTGGACAAGTTGTAAGTGTTCAGTGGAGGGAATGATCATTCCACAACAAACTGCACTGGGCTGAGGTGTTTAGGAATATCTTCATGGATTTGTGGGATTTGATCTGGGCCTTGAATGTCAGGGACAAGGCTTCAGGGAAGAGGGGGGGCATCACAGATGGGGAAAGTTGTGAGGGAAAGTGTGTGGGACTGCCTTATGCCTTTCTCTGTATTCCCAACACTTAGTACAGGTCCCTGGCACATGGTAGGTGCTTAATAAATGTTTATTGACTCAGACTCTGGAGGTACAATGAAAGGCAAACTATTGCATCCCCTTAGCATCTTGGACTGCAAGCAGGAATTTGTGATTCACCAAGAAAAGGAAATGCAAAGGTTTTTTTTTTTTTTTAAATTAAAAACTAGGCTATCACTAGGGGGTAGTGTGAACAAAGAAATGAAGGAAAGCTGCGGGATTGTTCAGGCCCTGCCATCATGGATATGTGAGAAAGGCTGATGCCAGATCATCGGAGGAGGCTGTCCTTTCTTCTCAAAGATTTAAACAGGTCTGGTGGTTTGTTTACAAGGGCTCGTCTCGCTGAGAAAATTGTGCACATGGTTATAAGGACTGCTTCCAGTAATATTTTGGGCAGGGGTAAACATGCCTAACCATGCCTTTTGAAATCACTATAGATTACGCCTCAAACAAATTGTTTTTTCTGCACCTTCTATACCTTCCTAGCTCTGATCCATGTTATTCCCCTTCATGTCCAACCTCAGATTATTTTATGTTCTCTTTATACCCCTCAGACTTGCCTCAGCCCCCACTCTTTGCCTTTGCTTATTGATGCCAATAGTACCACCTCCCCCAAACTATTGAATTTCTACCTACTCTATACTCCCCTTAACTCCCTTGCTCAAATGCCTTCAGTGACTTATTTCTAGGCTGGTATTTTGTCTGCCACCTGCCTTTCCAGCCCTGTTTCTACCTACTCCATTTTACAAGCTGTGTTCTAGCAAAAAATGGGCTAGTAGCTGTTCTCCCACCTTGATACTCCCTTACCTGCGTTCTCACATACCATCCCCATGCCTGGAAAGTGCTTCATTCCTGCCCATCATAATCCATCAAGGTTTGAATGAGGTTCCACCTCCTCCATGAAGCCTTTCCTGACTTCCTTCCTAACCCCTTCTGCTCTCTCCTAAGTTGTCCTTGTTTATACTTATGTGTGTTTATTTAATCAGTTGATTATCAAGGATTTTTAATTGTCAGCACTGAGATTGCATGTTCAAAGAATGAAATGA